CTCGGCCTCGCCTCCCGCTGGGCCTGGTCTGAATCTTCACTCTCAGTCCCCTCGAGCACCCAGAGCTGTTTCTCACCTCCATGCTTCTCCTCACGCTGCGCCCTCTGCCCGGATTGCTCTTCCTGTGGCTGGTTCATCCATCCACACTAACCATTTAAGACTCACTCTTCATACAGTCTTCTTTGACCCCAAAACCAGCTGGGGTGGGGGTCCCTTAGGCCAGTCCTTCCCTACTCCATGCTGACTTCATCAGCACCCATAATAATAATAACTGTTTTTCATATGGTAATTTCTCTCTTAATGTATGGGATTATTGCCAACTCCTTAGTCTGGTGGTTCCCTAGTCACAGTTTTACATAGAACAGTCCCTCCAAGTGGGAGCTCACCACAGCCATGTGGAAACACATCCCGTTGCCTAGTGGGACCACACAGCTGCCCCTCTCCTGCGCAGCCCCAGCTTGCAGGTCAGGACCTACTCCCACTTCATGCAAATAGTGACCTCAGCTGGACCAATGGCCCCTGATCCCATGATGCCTGTGGACAGAGAGACACAGTCGGCCATGGAGAATGGGTGCCAACCAGCTGCCCACTCAGCATCAGCTTCTATTCAACCTTGGCTACCATAGTTTTCACTCAGGAACCAGACTCCTGATGTGTTGGTCAAAATGCCATCCCTATAATAATGGTAACTTTTATGTATTGAGACATTACATATGACTGACTGTACTGAATGCTTTACAGGTATTCAGTCATTTAATCTTCACAATAATCTTGCAAGGTGGGTAATTATTGCTTCCATTGTACAGATTTAGGAAGTTGAGGCACAGAGAGGTTACGTGACTTGCCTACAGCCACACAGCCAGTAAGTGACAGAACTGGGATATGAACCCGAGCAGGCTGGCTCCAGAGCCACACTCTTGGCGGGTATACTCAAATGCTTCAGTCAGCCACATGATGCATGTCTGCTTCTGTTTCACTCTAGAACTAGAACTGAATCTTGTTGCTCCTTATCCTCAACACTGGCACACCAACCTGCACATAGTAGGTGCTCATTCAAGCCTCCCTTAACAGGAGCATTTGTAACATTCCTACTTTAGATAGGAGAGCCCAAAGGGAGAAAATGTTTTTCATTTTACAATATTTTGCAACCATCTATCCTTCATGATCTCATTCAATTTCACATCACTGCCAGGCATAGATTGTTAGACCCACCTGTTAAGTGAAGAAAATGAGGCCCAGAGAGGCTAAGAAATTTGCTTGTTATCCAACTAAGAGTTGGTGGAGATGGTCCATAAACCCAGGTCTCCTGACTTCAAGCCCGGTGCTCATAACACGTCTCTGAAATGGGGCCTGCGAGATGTTGCTGAACCCAAACCCAATCCAAGGGACATGGAGGCCCTGCACGTCAGGGCTCATTAATCACTCCCATCCCCTGTGTGGAGGAGCCTTTGGGGACAGAGGCTTGCTTCCCTTCCCTCCACTCTCAGGGTCTAACACCTCTTCAGGGCAGGAAACTCTTCCTTGTCACAAAGCTCCGGCCCTCCCTCGCCCCTCTCCTCCATGCCCCAGGCCACTCCCTGCCCTGTCTCCCTCAAGGGTCTGGGTAAAAGCATCCGCTTGTCAGTGTAAATCTGCAGGGTTCAGACCAGCAGCTGGAGATGGATGGGCAGGAAGCAGTAACAATGGATGAAAGACCCTCTGTGCCCAGGTGGGTGGGGGAGGGAGAGGCAGGAAACAGAAGCCTCCCTCCTGTGGAGGCCGGGAACCACGGCTGGCGGGCGGGAGGCCTGGGATACCAGAACCTGCGGGGTTTATTTGGATTCCCCAAGGATCCAAGCTGGGAGCTCTTCACAAACATCAGACCAGCTCGTCTCCATGGGGTGCCAGGTCCAGGATGTGTGTGACAAGAATGTTGCTTTCATGCATCGCTGTCTGTCCCCAGGGCCTAGCACAGGCCTGGCTACAGAGTAGGGGCTTTTTGGCTGAGTGAAGAAATTAATGTGGCACTATCAATGACATAAAAATTTATAGTTTTATATCAACTTTCTTTTAAAAAATTAAAAGCACTCACAATGATCCTTTTTGCCCCTTAGAGCTTTTGCACATGCTGTTCCTTCTGCCTGACATGCACTTCCATCTGCTTTTTGCAAGGTCAGTGCCCTCTCATCTCCCAATTGTAGCTCAAATAAAGCTCTTCAATGAGGTTTTGAGGACACATTTTGACCCCCCCTGCAGCTAAGGTAACCCCACTTCCTTTGCCCCTTTAGCCCACACTTGTTGAATTCCTTGGTGGCTTTTATTATTATCAGAAATCTTCTCGCTCAATAAATATCCTTATTCCTTTATCCCTTCTCTTTCCCACCAGAATGTAAGCTCTGAAAGGGAGCCTGTTCATTGTATCTCCAGGGCCAGGCACTTCGAAGATGCCCCATAAATCGTTAACTAGATAAAGAGATGAACAACTGAGTCTCTGTAATGATGTCATTCACACCCTATACTCTGCAATCTGCTTCCTTGAAGAGGACAAAAGAGAGACTTGCTTTTGCACTGAGGACTGTAAAGCCCCAACCCAGAGTGAGTGACTTATTCCCGGGTTAATAATTGTGATGATTGCAAATCGTTTGAGGGATTTGCTTCCCCCACAACAATTTTTTGAAGTTCATCAAAATCTGGGTGTGCACAGGCAGGGAGACCATATGTGGGAATGCCACCATATGCCCAGCATGCTGCCCCGTGCACACGGGTGGAGAGGGATGGCTCTATCTCAAACCTATCCACTTCAAAGATGGGAAATCCAAGGCCTAGAAATGCCAAGATCATACACATCAATCCAGAGCTTTACCAGCAGAGAACTCAATAGTGCTGTAGATTCATTGAGTCCAAAGATTTGTTCATTCATTTAACAAACATTTATCGAGCCCCTATAATATGTCTGGCACTGTGGTAGGAACGGAGGATATAGCAATGACTAAAGACTCAGAGACTCAAAGGAATTAAGTAAAAGGCCTGGCCCTCCTAACACGGAGCTACTTCGATGACCTTAAAAGCAAATACCCTCTCAGCAGGTGGGGAAAGGCTGGGCATTGGGTGGGCGAAGAACTCCAAAGTCGNAGTGCTGTAGATTCATTGAGTCCAAAGATTTGTTCATTCATTTAACAAACATTTATCGAGCCCCTATAATATGTCTGGCACTGTGGTAGGAACGGAGGATATAGCAATGACTAAAGACTCAGAGACTCAAAGGAATTAAGTAAAAGGCCTGGCCCTCCTAACACGGAGCTACTTCGATGACCTTAAAAGCAAATACCCTCTCAGCAGGTGGGGAAAGGCTGGGCATTGGGTGGGCAAAGAACTCCAAAGTCGTAGGAAGGAGAGAGAGGGGGAGTTGGTCTGGACACAGAGAATCTGAAATGGAGGGAAGTGTTGACTCTGACTAAGAAGCCAGCTTAGGCGGGGGTAGTGACCCTGCTTACACGCCTCCTGGTGCCAGCTGGGTTGGATTGGTGCCCAGAAATTCAGTGCCTTCAAGTGGAACAGCTTGTGCCACCTCAACAGTCTGGGACCCAGTCAACAGGGAAGGCCGAAGGCCACTCGTTCACTCAGGAAACTCATACTAACCACCTGCTAAGAGTCAGACCCTGTGCTGAGCCCTGGAGTTACCCTGGTGAAGGGGACACTGTCCCATCCCTAAAAGTCCTCAGTTCTGGCAGGGGGACACAGACACACAGACCCATGGACAGGCCATTACAGTCCCGAGATCCTGGCAAGGAAATCCACTAAGAGTGCCTTCCCACCTCCCTCCTCTGTCCCCACCAGTGACACCAGGGACCATTGTGGGCATCAGGGGCCAGACAGACCTGGGTCTGGTCTCAGCTCCACCTCTAGGTCCACATATGACCATAAGCAAGTGACTTAACGTCTGTGAACCTCCATTCCCTCATCTGTAAAATGGGGACAATAATAGTACCTGCTTAAGTGGTGCTGACAGCATTTGATGAAAGAAGCTACAAAGCTCTTGGCGTACAGCTGCTTCAGAAATGGTGCACCAAAGCGGCTTCTCTTCTGGGTAGGAACTGTGTGCTTATGCTCTCAGATGGCCTGTGGTTTACTGTCGTGTCGCAATTACCAGCATTCACTCTCACAAGCTCTACTCTTAGATGGAGTCAGTCAGGGGACAAACAGGTACGTGGTGCTGGCTCTGTGACAGTGCCCGGCATGGGGCAACAAGTATGAATGAGACCCAGCCCCACCCCAGGCATTGCTCCCCAACCAGGGAGGAGCGGTGTGGTATCATCCTCATAACAAAATGTGAGCAGTGTAGTTATAAAGTCCGAGGCACAATACACAGTTCTCTGAGGTGGCCTTTATCCCCATCTCACTGGTGAGAGACTGAGGTCCAGACAGGCAATTCACCAACCCAGGGTTCACATAAACTCTATCTGACTCCAGAACTCAATGCTTTGCCCTCACAAACTCCCTGGACACAGCGAATCCTGTTTCTCCCAAGTGTTGTACAAGGGTTGGCTCACTCAGCTGGTGACCACCTAGTGTATCCCTGAGGTGTGCCAAGCCTAGACCGCGGTGTACCGGGAGTGCAGCTGAACAGGACACAGCCCCTGCCCCCACCTCCAGCCAGGAAAGAGGTAGATTTGGGCATGTGGGGGCTTTGTCCCTGTGTCTTCTTGGTGACACTGATGGGGAACCTTTTGGCATCGGTCTAGACTTCCCCCTCCACCAAAGCGCCCACAGAGCTGCTAGGAAACACCACGGGAGGGAGGCTGTGACAGCTTCAGGCCCCCAGGGCCACCATATCCGCTCAGCTCAGCCGGCTCTGACTCACTGCCCACACCTGCTGCTGGCCTCAGGCAGCCACTGCTGGAAATAGACCCAGGGCGGAGAGCAGGAGCAGGGGAGGGCACGGAGGTGGCACCTGCCTTCGAGGCTGCAATTCCCACCCCTCCCCACCAGGAAGCAGAGACATGTCATCCAGCGGAGCTCACCTGAAGTTGCCAGGGTTGGGAATTCTCCTGGGGGATGAAGACACCAGCTTAGCTGGGAGGCTGGCCCAGGAGCAGCAAGGATTAAATAAAAATAATGATGGTGCCTCACTTCCCATAATGCTCGGTCGTTGTTGAGCACTTGTGTGCCAGACACACAGGCCTAAGTGCTTTGCATGTCTTAATGATCTCATTGAACTCTCACAGCTACCCAGGAGGTTGTACTATGATTAAGCCCGTTTTACAGATGAGGAACTTAAGACTCAGAAACAAAATAACTTCCCTAAGACCATTCAGCCCTTATATTAGGCAACGTGATCTCACCTCAAGATCCCCACCCAATCCCAGCTCAAATGGCTCATCCCAGGTCACACATGGGCTCAGCTCCCATCTGCCTTGCCTCCATCACTGCCCTCTTCACCAGGGTGAAGCCTCCCTTCTTATGGCTTTGGAAGCAGAAACCAAACCATTATCCTCCTCCTTTCCTTCTTACCTACTCAACGCTGCTCAGCTGTCAGCCTAAATCTGATCACGTTGCCTCCCTGTCTAAAACCTGCAGTGGCTCCCAATGCCAAGATAAAATGTATTCAAGAACCTTTGTACACTGGGCCTTGCCCACTTCTCCAGCCTCCTGGCTCACCAGTCTTTGCTTGGGCAAGTCAGGACACCTGCCAGGGCTCGTTCTTTCTGTGGGCATGATAACACTTCTGCCCAGTAGTGAGGGTGAAGAGGCTGATGCATGTGAAGTACCTAGCAGGCCACCTGGTGCATAGCTCGTGTTTAGTAGACCATCTTGCCTGCTACCAGCTCTGAGCCAGAGGCTGGGGCAGACTTGGTGGTGCATGAAATGGTCTCTGCTTTCAGCCAGGCTGGGGTCAATGGTTTTATAGTAGTTCTGCCCAAAATCTGTCAGTACTAGTGGAATTTATCATTTTGAGAAATTCTGCAAGGCTTTAGGGCAGCAGTAGTTGGAGAACGAAAAAGGTAGGGGGAGAAGAAAAAAGCATACGAACTGTGGGTGGGTATATAATGATACAACCACTGTGGAAAACTGTATGGTGATTCTTAAAATTTTTTAAATAGAATTACCACATGGTCCAGCAATTCCACTTCTGGGTATATACCTAAAGGAATTGAAAACAGAGTCTTAAAGAGATACTTACACACCCATGTTTATAGCAGCAGTATTCACAATGGCTAACATGTGGAAATAACCCAAGTGTCCATTGACAGATGAATGGTTAAGCAAAAGGTGGTATATCCATACAACGGAATAGTATTCAGTCTCATAAAGGAAGGAAATTCTGACACATGCTACATCATGGATGAAACTTGAGGACATTATGCTCAGTGAAATAAGCCAGACACAAAAAAGACAAATGCTATATGATTCCACTTAAAAGAGGTACTTAGAGTAGTTAGATTCATAGAGACAGAAAGTAGAATGGTGGTGGACAGGGTCTGAAGGGAGGGGGAATGAATGAGAATGGGCAGTTCTTGTTTAATGGGTACAGAGTTTCAGTTTTACAAGATGAAAAGAGTTTGGAGCTGGACGGTGGTGAGAGTAGCACATTATGAATGCATTTAATACTACTGAACTGAACACTTAAAAATGGTTAAGATGGTAAGTTTTATGTTTGCATATTTTACCACAATAAAAACAAATTGGAAAGAGGGAAAAGGGAACCAGCTTTCCTAATAGGCTCCTTTTTATCTTCACCACAATCCAGAAGTGGGTATCTAGATGTACCCACTCTATAGAAAGAAAAACTGAGGACAGAGAGCAAAGATTTACCAGGGCATCAGGCACAGAGCTTCTGAGACCAGCTTGATCAGGCTCCAAAGCCCATGCTCTTTCCTTGCCTGCGCCCAGCAACCCAGAGCTCAGCGGAGGCAGTGTAGCTTAGCAGGGGAGGTCCGTGCGTGCGCGCATGTGCACGCCTGAATGGAGGCTTAAGGCGGCACTGTTTCCTGAACTTGAGACTCCTACGGATGCAGTAATAGAGGTGAATAGCTGGGGGGACGTCAGCTGTGCCAAGCAGAGGAGAAGCCTGGACTTGGTCCTTCCTCAGCTTCCCCCCGCCACTTCCCAGTTGAGAAAACTGAGGATGTGTTCCTTAGCCAGGCCTCCATGATGCAGTGGGCTTGTGAATGGCTGGAGGAGGGCTGAGGGAAGAAAGGAGGAGACGCGGGTCAGGCAGCTGCCACCTCTCTGCGCCTGCCCCTCTTCCAGGCTTAGCCTGTCACCTGACTTACAGGTGGGAATGACTCAGGCCCGGGGCCCTGCTCTGGTGGCCCTGGTCCCTAGGCCACAACGGAGCTCTGGGCCTCTCAGCTGTGATGTCAGTGGGCCCTTCCTTCCTCCCACATCTGCTTGAAAAGGTCACCTATTTTAAACTCTTTCTCACCCCACCCTGTCCCTCCCCTCCAAAAGAGGGCGAGTTTTTGTAACCTGTGTCAACAGCTCAGTTCAATATCCAAACAGCTTTCTCTTCTGATGCCGGACACCAGCACCTCCACTGCCGGGGAGCTCCAGCCCCAGCAGACTCTCCCAGGTAGCTGCTTTGAATTTAATGAATAAATCCTGAGTATCTGCTGCATGCCAAGCATTGTCCTAGGCCCCCAGGGGTAGAGCTCTGCCTACCTGGAGCTCACATTTTAATAGAGGCAAACAGACAACAAATAAACAAGTCAATGAATGTAGTAACAAGATCATTTCTAATGATGCTCAGTGCCCGAAAGAAAACCCAACAGGGCAAGAAGATAGTGACTAAGTGGTTTCTTTATAGTGAGTAGTCAAGGACAGCTTCTCTGAGGAGGTGACAAAGATTTTGGGGACAGCATCCCGAAGAGAGGGAACAGCAAGTTCAAAGGCCTTGAGATGGGAATTGAAAGGTATGTTAGAGCAGCAGTCTCACAGTGGGGTCCCCCAACCAGCAGCAGCTCCTGGAAACTGTTTAGAAATGTAAATTCTCAGGACC